AATTGTAAGTCCGCAAACATACCGCTGTGCCACTGGGGGCGTCTCTTCGAAAATAAAACGAACACCTGACATGTATTTGAGGCTAGTTTTATATTTTAAGAAAACGTCTATGAACCGTTATTAGGCATTATATGTTAACGTTGAAATTGGTATTTTCTGAATCCTTCCATTAAGGCTAAAGAAGATTCGTTACGTGACTAGATGTACTTCCGCAGGATCCTCGAAAGTGTTCTATTTCAAGAGCAAATAAAATCAAAATTAAGAGTAACAAATATTTTTATTTTTTGCTTTTCAAGTTCATCTGTCATGTTGTGTTTAGGTCTACAGAGTGCATAATTCTTCTCGTGATTCATGGCATGGCACGTTTTACTGACGTCACGACAATACAAGCTGCAACGTTAAGCGTCCGTTATGTGACTTCATTTTAGTGTCTACTGACTGACTGACAGACAACACACTTTCTTATAGATATCACATTGAAATCTGTATATTAAATTGTATATTAAGCGAAACTCTGCTAGTTATTAGTTATTTAAAATTCTAGTGAACAAAATTTGCGGCTTGTCTCTCCGCCCTATTCGTTTTTATTTAATGTCTTCAGATATTATCCGAACCGCAGCGCCACCTTACGACATTCTATAACTGTCAAAAGCGGGAGTCGGTGAGTTATCCTTCCCCGGTACTTGTCTTTCATGTTTTATCACGCTCTTTCACTTTATAATTTTGGCTCGCACGTGCGTGTAAAATGTGCAACTGCCTTCCGTCGGTTACTCAGGAATTCTTCCATTTTCTGGCCAATTTCAAAAAGACAAAATAAAAAAATCTGAAATCTGTTCTTGATTTATATTCCCTAATAGTTAAGCAAGCAAGTGGTTTTCTGCCGCTATAGTCTCGTTGCCTAGCAACGTAGCTTGCAACGTTTTCTTGGGCTGGGTGGCAATCGCGAGAGTTTACCATTTATAAAGAGGCTCAGAGACCTTAAGGTGACCAGAAAGACGTGAGGGAAGTCCCAACTTTAATCGAGTGAGTCCACTACTTTTTCTGTCTGTTTTACTGTGCTTTCAGATAGCTTTGAAGAAAAAACGGCAGCAATAAATTATTATTATTATTTTTTAATAAGTTTAGTATTATGAATTATATTCAGAGAGAAATAAGTTCAGGGTACCGTAAACGATACTGATAATACAATTTCCTATAGCTAGATACGTCACTGGTTTTTGAAGAGTAACTGTTACACCGACGCAGCTCACCTTCACTAAATATAATCTCTGCGAAACACGCTCGTATAGGTTTCGAATTGTGAAATTCGAAACCACATAAATTAATCAAAGGCATACAGATATACTATGAGCTCCTTCCCGGACTAGTTTTTTAATTATTGTACTTCTGGTACTTCGATTATCTCTTGACATGAAGCACCAATGTTGACGCTCATTTTGTTATTTATTTTGCCTCACCAGTGACTCGGTGTAGGGTTACAACTCTAAAAATCGGGTTTCGCTATCCGTTATGGGCACAGCACAGATAGCCCATTGTGTAGTTTTTGTATAGATACGTCACATCATATTTTTGTATTTTTGAAAAAAAACAACTCTTTCTTTAAAGTGAGTCAATCCACAGAACTTGTTGTTGACGAAAAATATCATTATTGACTCTCTCCCAGACATGGTATAGAACATAAGTCTATCCACCGAATGCATTGTTGACTCTTTCATGGAGTCATTAAATAATGAATGCTTATCAACAGAAGGTAATGTTCTAGAAAAATATCGTTATTTGCTCTCTCCTAAGCTCGTTAAAAATGTAAGTCTATTCACCGAATGCATTGTTGACTCTTTCATGGAGTCATTAAATAATGTTTGCTTATCCACAGAAGGCGATGTTCAAGAAAAAATCATTATTGACTGTATTGTGGAGTAGGTAATATCAGTGATGACTCACTTACAATATCGTTCTTTAACGTGAGTCAGTCTACAGAGATAATGCTGACGTTTCACAGATTTGTAACTCTATCTATAACATGTGTTTTTAGCTATGGCCGTCAATGTTGATTAACTTATTTATCAATTCATTTGTTAATGTAAATATATTCACTTAATATACTTCTAAGAAAAACACCCCATTGGTTCAACAGTAAACTTAACGGTTTATAACCCTAAAATCCGAGTGGATACAACACAGATAACACATTCTGTAGTTTCACTCTTACCAACAGCCAATGAACTAAAAGTATAAAATTTAAGAATTGACTATTTTTAGAGATTTGTGAATTAATGTAGTTTTCTACACTGATTACATTCCTGGCGACGAACAACAAAAGAGGGAATTCGTTTGCTTTTTTTTTACGTTTAAGTATAGTTTCTTTTTCCCAACTTAAATCGCAACGGTGATTTTTTTCATGTAAATCTTTCCATCGTTTGTGTGTTTCTAACAATGACTCTCAATCTACTCTTTCAGAGATCGGTTCGGTAACTTAAGCCTATTTGTTTCATATGTACGAGAGTTGATTATTTCCCAAATCAGATTTTTTCATAAATACGAGAGTCGACTCTTTCACGAGTCATATATTGTTCATAAATATAAGAATTGATTCTTTCACGAGTCAGATATTGTTCATAAATATAAGAGTTGACTCTTTCACGAGTCAGATATTGTTCATAAATATAAGAGTTGACTCTTTCACGAGTCAGATATTGTTCATAAATATAAGAGTTCATTCTTTCACGAGTCAGATATTCTTCATAAATATAAGAGTCGACTCTTTTCCGAGTCAGATATTGTTCATAAATATAATAGTTGACTCTTTCACGAGTCAGATATTGTTCATAAATATAAGAATTGACTCTTTCACGAGTCAGATATTGTTCATAAATATAAGAGTTGACTCTTTCACGAGTCAGATATACACGGAATTATTTTTAATTTTATATTAGGAATTCTTTGACAGTTTTTAATTCTACACAGTCCAGTTTTACTGCAAATGCTACTGTATAGATAGTAGTTTTTTTTTATACGTTTTGTAGACTTGCCATATGTTTGTTTTTTGCCAACTCATAGATTTAAATTTACGATTTTACTTTCATGCAAATCAACTTCAAGGCTACTGTTGTTTCCAATGTAACAATTCCAATAAGTTTTTTTTTAAATTATATTTATGAGACATCTACAAGAAGCGCTGTCGGAACACCGGTTTCAAGTCGTAATTCAGATAATTGATTTTTTCTTCTATTTCTCAGAATTGCAAATTTACAAGAGAAAGTGTTTGTTGCTGGGCGCAGTGTCGTTTGTTTTTCTGTGCAAAGCCACATTGGGCTATCTGCTGTGTCCACCACAGGGAATCGAATCCCGGATCTTAGCGTTATAAATCCGTAAACCTATCGCTGCCTTACCTGGGGACGGCGTGGTATCTATTCCTCAATAACATGTTTGTACTTAATTCTTTCCTGCTTTTGTTTTCGTAAGAAAGTCCGGATATTGCTGGCTGTGATCCCAATATGTTTGAAAGACATTTGTATAATTACTAAGAATGTGGAGATTATTTTACTAACGATCAATAATTATACTCACAGACTATAATATTAACCCGTTACCAAAGTTCAAGATATTGTCTTGAACACAGTGTCCATTTGAATGAGAATTATATCCAGCAAGATCAATACAAAATTAATTAAAAATTAATCACTACTTCCGTTTCTGTTCGTTGTTCTATTTACAACAATACTAAGTCGCCATCTTTGAGTGTTAAGTGTTACATGTGCGTTTCGTTCACTAACTGTTAAATACTCTTTAGAGCAAGGCTTAGCAAGTATTAACGAAGCTAACAGGAAGTTAGAAAAATGAAATAAAGTTGAATTATTGTTTTTGATTAAACCACATAAAGGTCAGAAGATACTGGTTTTATATACAAAACGTCACAGTTTATTACATTCTATGACCATTCTTGTGTATAAATTTCGTAAAATAAGTAAGAATATTTGGCGTTTAAAAATGAACAATTTGTTACGTCATTGAACAATCATATAAATTACTGCTTTCCACTCATTCTAGGGATGGAGATCTGTCCAAAAATTGGAAGTGGAAAGCTTGCGTCAACATCAGAAACAGAACCTGTAAAAACCCACTTTGTGCTTGTAATCCTAGGAGCAACTAGAGTTGGGAAGACAGCTATAATACAGCAATTCTTACACGCGTCTTTTCCCGCCGACTATAAGGCCACAGTAGAAGAATTCCACAGGAGTCGATATGACATGAAGGATTTTGTCTTAACCCTTGACATTCTTGACACCAGCGGCACTTACGAGTTTCCGGCGATGAAAAGATTAGCTATGAATGCAGGTGATGCCTTCGTTCTAGTGTATTCCATCGATGACGCTCAATCGTTTGAAGAGATGTGTCGAGAACGAGAGTTGATCCACAAAGAACGACCTATAGATGTTCCTATGGCTGTGGTGGGAAATAAATGCGACCTAGAAGAATACAGAGCAGTCAAGAAGGAGCTAGCCGAAAGCATTGTGACTATAGATTGGGGGAGTACATTCATTGAAGCCTCTGCAAAGAACAACACCAACATCATTCAGATTTTCAACGAGCTTCTTACTCATGCTTATGCACCAGGTGTGCTTTCTATCTCTTTAGAACAAAGACGCCAGTCTCTTCCTTGCTGCAGTGTGAGTCCTAAAGAGAAACGTGATTCAACACCGAAACGCCACAGTTGCGTCGTATCGTGAAATAATGTGAAGACTCTGCATGTTGCTGGTTGTGGTTTAATAATCCTAAGAAAACATGATGATAAATTAACATTACTAAATTGAATTAAATATAATCAACTGTTGTAATACAATTACCTGTTCATTGAAATAAAAGTATTTTAAAGAACTGTATCCAATCCAATAACTCGTGAACGGCTTATAGACTTGTGCTCTTTCTTTTTATTCTGTAGAGCCTTGTGCTGTTGCTGGTATATTTCCAGATAACGAAGAATGACAGAGCTTCAAGTCACTGATTCTGCTGGTAAAGTACCAAACAACGGAGAAGGACAGGATTTCAAGTCACTGATGTTGCTTTTAGATTACCAGATAAAGAAGAAGGACATAGTTTCAAGTCACTGATATTGCTTTTAGATTACCAGACAACGGAGAAGAAAACGTTTCAAGTAATGATGTTCCTGGTAAACTACCAGACAACGGAGAACACAGAGTTTCAAGTCATTGATGTTGCTTTTAGATTACCAGACAACGAAGAAGTATAGAGTTTTAAGTCACTGATATTGCTTTTAGATTA